GAGGGTGAAGGTATTTTTACCCTAGTGGTGTTTTGTGTCATGATTTTTGTTTAACCTAGTGTATGCCAGTTTTAACCCTTAATGTCAGCCTGATGTTGTTGTTCATCAGCACCTGCCAGCAGCCCTGGTTATCACGCTGATGGGCTTCCATCTTACTATGACAACGAGTTCACCACCTCTGGCTTTGAAGACAAGAACATCCGACAAGCCTTCATCCAAAAAGTAGGTCTTTTTCCATGTCAATCAGTTTGAGTTTGAGTCTAATAAGTAAGCAAATATATCATGTAATATATCCGTCATTTGTATGAAATGCCACCAAAGCATACATTTCTTCTTAAAAACTGTTCTCTTCTTCACTACCATGGTTCTCACCATGCAGCTGCTGGTCACTTTCTCCATTGTTGCCATCTTCACCTTTGTCCATGAGGCCAAGTACTTTGTGCGACGTCATCCATGGACATACTATGTGTCCTATGCAGTCTTCTTCATAGTCCTAATTGTCCTCAGCTGCTGTGGAGACTTTTGCCGCAAGCACCTCTGGAACTTGGTTGCACTGGTAAGAACCTGCCCTAACACCGAATAATAATGTGTGGAATACCCATTGTGAAAGTCTGTAAAATAAATGACAGGTTCAGGCTTTGTGGACATATACACAGTGTGTACCATAGCACTACACAGTGGTTTGAATTGTCAGACAAAACATATTCAAAGCTGCAGTGTGCAATACCTTTTAAATATATCTATATGAAAAACTGCATGTATAGTTCTGTATTTATAAGTACTTTATTTTTATTTTCCTAATGCACATTCCTTTTTCTTTGTACTTTTTTCTTTTTTTGTGCTCAGTCCTATCTAGTTTACTTGTCGTCTTATGGAAGAGCATTGCACATGCACATTAAGAGCCACAGTACCAGAGTCAAATTCCTTATGTGTCCAGCACACTGGCCAGTAAAGCTGATTCTGACATCCAACAGGTGCTGCATTAATTAATAGTGTCAAATTAAAGAACACAAAGTAGCTAATGTATGAGCCTTTAAGTGAGGGTGAAGGTATTTTTACCCTAGTGTTGTTTTGAGCATTCAAGTTACCTAGCTTGGTGCGAGATACTTGGCATGAATGTAAACCACAGAGCGCCACAGTCATGGCATCACATTCAGGCTAGTCTCTGTTCTGTTAACTTCACTTACTCATCTGTTCAGCATTTGTCATGTTTCTCTTGATTTCAGATCGCCAACAATTACAGCAGTTGAAACCTTCATGAGTTTAAAGTTAATCAAAAATTTTGTTTTAGCATCAGAAGAACTACAACTCCACAAGGAGTAATTACTCTTATCACAACATGTCATACGAACCAATTCTGATCGAGGTTACATTGCTCCTGAAAAGGGTGTTTTGAAATTGTCATCTGAATTTAAAGCATGTGAAGTGTGTTATGAGTGATGTTAATGCGACTGTGTTTTCTCTGCAGTCCATCCTGACCCTGTGCCTCTCCTACATGGTGGGCATGATTGCCAGTTTCTATAACACAGAGACTGTCATAGCTGTGGGTATCACTGCAGTGGTCTGCTTCACTGTCGTCCTGTTCTCACTGCAGGTCAGCACTCACCACGAGCCGCTTGAATAAACATATTCAAATGCTCTACATGCAAACAGACAAATATAGTCCGTCTGGTTCTGTGTTGAGTTGTTAGGGAGGCAAAAGTGAGGATTGGTTTTACAATGATGTGCTCAACCCAGTCCATCTCACATACTTCCCACTGAAGATGCACTCTTAAACTGGGATGTCTTTATCTTATAATTGTTAAATTAATTTGAAATAAGGAATGTTCACAACACTGTCTTTGAGGTTCATAAATTATCAAGACTGCATTTGAATTACATTTTCATAAGCGCTATAGAGTGGTGTGTCTCATGTCTTATCACAGCTCATATTTTCTAACACTTTGCTTTCTGAGTCTTTTTCTTCTTTTTCCCACTTTACAACAGAGCAAGTATGACTTCACTTCCTGTTGGGGCATGCTCTTTGTGTGCTTGATTGTGCTGTTGCTCTTCTCCATCCTCTGCATCTTCATCCGCCACAAGATCCTACACATCGTCTATGCCTCACTGGGGGCCCTGCTCTTCACCTGCGTAAGTATCATACTCAAGTACACTTCTTTAAAAAAAGAAGTGGCCTTAGACAGTATATACATATGCAGCATTTGATGGATGTTGAAATATGATTTGAAATAATAGTCATTTCATATCTCAAGCGTTTTTTTCCAAAGAATAATACCATTCTTGTTCCTTCTATGCAGTTTTTGGCGGTTGACACTCAGCTCCTCCTGGGCAACAAGAAGCTGTCCCTGAGTCCAGAGGAGTACATTTTTGCTGCCCTGAACCTCTAAACCGACATCATCAACATCTTCCTCTACATCCTAGCTATTGTGGGACGTTCCCGTGAATGAGGCTGCACCTTGGAGAGAACAGCAGGGAGATAGAGAATGCCTCCCTTTATCATGAAATGTTGCTAACATGCCCTCTTCTCTGTACTGTTTAGTATTGATGTAAACCAGCTTTGTCTGATAAAAAAAAACAAAAAAACATTTGTGCTAGAAATACCCTTCTTTAATCTGTCCTTTTTCAAACTGCTGGTGTAAAATAACTCTGCATGGCAACATTGGAAAACTAACAATGTATTATGATTGTTTGGAACACAAGTGGAATACTCTGTCTTGCTTGTCACAGTTGTAATTAGTGGTGTATTACTGTATACGATGCCAATATCACCCCCCCCAACCGCCTTTTAAAGCCATGCTAGAGGATTCAGTGATTCATATTGATGTGTTACTTGTGGAGCAATGTACTCTGATAGCAGAACTTTCCTTACCAAGTGCAGTAATTAAAATCTTTTAACGGCCTATAAATGAAGATCAGCACTGGATGTATACAACAAACATGACCATAAAATAGTATTTATAAGCTATACATATTCTTACATAATATCTTCAATTATTTGTATGAGTCTAACACTGAATCTTTTCTTACCTTCTTCCATTTATTTTTCTTTACTCACCACCTCCTGTTCTTCTGGTCATTATCGTGAAGTGACAATTTAGTGTTTTTTATTTTCTTTCTCGTTTAATGTGAAATATTGTAGCTCTCAGATTTCTGACCACTTCAATACAGAGCTGATCCAAGTTTTATAACTATTATGAAGTAGATGGATGCTGGACATGAATGAATTGGTCTGAGGAACTGATCCATTTATTGATTTTTGGCGTAGATAGCAAGAGTTGCCATGGGACAGTGTTGATGAAAACAAACAGACTGAAAGTTACAAAAACCTTAAGTTGACTGAAATCATAACTTGCTCAACAAAGGAATCAATATGCACTGAAAGCCAAAATATACCTACATCTAAACAAACACAACTTGAATGATAACATTTTTATTCTGCAACTTGTTTTGATTTTTTTAAATTTAGTTATTTTTTTGCATGAACATTTGCATGTGCTAATAATGTACACTGCACAGGTACAGGTATTCTTCTTTTGAAAAGAGATGGTGTACTGTTTATCACAGACTACTTTGGGTCAAAGTTACCAAGGACATTTGTTTTGAAACCATTTAAAATCTTTATACAGTCGCATAAAGTAACACCTGTTGTGTTCCTGGTCAAAAGTTACCGGGAATATTTTAATTTGTGTACAAAGGAAATTATCCCAAAACTACACTTGACAATTTCACAATATTTCAAGATCAATATCTTAATACATTAAAGAACAGCGAACAAGACAAGAACAATAACATTACAATGTTCATCAGTCTATCAGATGTGTTTTATGCTGTTTGAAAGGGCAGCGTCTCCTAAAAGTGACCAGACGTCCTTCCATTGTGCTGTTTGGACTTGGGTTATAGATGAGTAGCAGGCACTCCACCCGTTCGTCCCAAACCTCTCTGATTGCTGCCAGTTTGTCTTGTTGATGACAGCCTAGTCTTGTATCACAGTTGTCAAAGTGAATCACCCGTGACAACATGAAATTTCTGGAGTTACATGGTGGCCCGAAAAATTGTCTGACCAGACTCTGCTTCCCATAAACTACTGGTAGATTCATTTTTGGATGTCTACACACCACTCATAATCAAAAGACCCATGTATGCTTCGATGCCTGTCTGGGTTACCTCCTTCCAGTTGTCTTTGTAAATCCATTTCCCCTCCAAGTTGGTCATGTTTACCACTATGGTTTTGATGGACTCAGTCAGGAACAGTTCAAAGTGGAATTTGATGCCATCAGTCCAGGATATGGCATATTTTGTAACTCCTGGAGTCATCCTGATGACATTTTCAGATGAAAGCCTATTTGGATTCTCAGGTGGGGATGAAGACCAGGATAACTTCCCATTCTTTTAACTTGAATGTGACAGCAGTCTCAGCATGGCCATCCTCTTCATCACTGGATTCCTCCTCATCTGTTATTTCTTGGCCTGGATTATATTTCATGCCGTCTTCATCTTCTGACACTTCCTCCTCTAATCCATCCTCACTCTAAGTTTCCTGGCCTCTTTCCTCGTCACAGGTGTGGTGATCAACTATGAAATCAAGAGCCTCACTTACAGTATATCGACCTCCCATGGTGCTGCCACACAATGAACTGTGAGCAAGGCCTCAAAGAAGCCTTATATACTAAAGCTATGAGAAAAGTTCAGTGTTATTGAAACAACATTGCAACTGTCTGTGAGAACTGCCAACACAGGTGTTGTTCACGTGGGAGAGAGACTCTACTGGGCAAAGGTTCCCATAGTGGTTGCCAGGGAACCAAGGTGTGCCTGTGTGTGAGTCCATCTGACAAATGAGTTTTTCACACTAATTGTGGTTTCCCCGGGCAGCACGGTGACGCGGTGGTTAGCGCTGTTGCCTCACAGCGAGAAGATTCCGGATTTGAGCCCCGGCCGACCCGGAGCCTTTCTGTGCGGAGTTTGCATGTTCTCCCCGTGCTTGCGTGGGTTCTCTCTGGGTGCTCTGGCTTCCTCCCACAGTCCAAAGACATGCAGCATAGGTTGATTGGTGTCTCTAAATTGCCCATAGGAGTGATTGTGTGTGTGAGTGGTTGTTTGTCTGCGTGTTAGCCCTGCGATGGACTGGCGACCTGTCCAGGGTGTACCCCACCTCTTGCCCGCAGCTGGCTGGGATTGGCTCCAGCCCCCCGTGACCCCGTTTGGGACTAAGCGGTTTGGAAAATGGATGGATGGATGTTGTCTCCCCCATTTATTTCTAATGACCGGTCATTTCTAACCAGGAACACCAAGAGTGTACAAAAGTTGAATAAAGCAAATAAATTTGTATGAAAATGGATACTTGATATTTCTGTGTTGAAATCCTCTTTGTGGACAAAGTCATGGAATCCAAAGTCAGTCTGATCAAATTACCTACATTTTTCAGAGATAAAATTTTTTAAATGGTCAAATTTGACCAGAACACAACATCAGGGTTAAACAGAGGTGGCACTTTATTTTTTCAGTTGTGAAATGTCCTACAGAGTGAGTATCTCAGTCACACTTATAAATAACTAAAGTAAAATTGTAGTTATACATTTGTTTTTATTGCTTACCTGATGCACTTGTGTTAAAACTATCCGCCAATTTATCATTAACGTCCCTCACTTAAATATTAATGCCGGTCTAAGAGATCCAGTCTTATAGCCCATGAAAAACTATTTTTTATTATTGTTTATAAGAAAAAAACATGAAGACGAAGCAATAGATCTACTTGATTTTCTTCCAGCTTCTGACAGCAGCAAGTCCATAAACTTTGCTTTCCAACTATAACATTTATCTATAACTAGGCCTATAGCTTTTCAGCTATAAATTCATAAGTAGCCTAAATATATAAATAGTAAGATATTTTGCAGCATTTGATATGGCATCAGACTTTGCGTGCTAGTCTGGGCTCGGGGGGAAACGGTAGGCTTACTTCATTATTTGTATAGGTTAGGAGAATAGTCCGCTGGTTGTTTAAGAATGAGCGAAATTTAGGTTAAACATCGTAAATTTAAGTTGAGCTGTAAGAGCTGTATTGAACTGTATTACACAACTCGTTAAAAACACAAAAAAGAAAACTGCAGAAGTTAGCATATGCGACCATTTGTTGGCTATGCAACTGCTAATGCTAGCTTTTAATTAGTTAATTGGTGGGACATTTGTAGCAGTTAACCTAATGTGGAAAGAAAGGCAACAGCTAAATATTCAGTGTATTTGTTTAGGTGCCATATTACTACGTGTGACCGGTGGACTTCTGCGTTGTGTTGTGGCTGGGGCGTCTGTGGTGGCTGAAGGACCCACGAAACACCAGGACTGCGTTTGGAGGCGCGCTCCGTTTAATCTGACAACATGAAATAATAATCAGCAACTAGCATGTGCTGCCGGACCTCACACCAATCTATATAAAAAAATACATCCTGTTAGTGTGTTAACATACATCGTTGTCGGAACAAAGCTAAGTAATTAGCACCGGCAAATGTCATAACAGCGTAATAACAGTGCATGCATGAGTATCAACAGTCATCGTTTATACAGAAGAAGTAAAAATGAAGATGTGGGCACAAGAAAAAAAGGATCACAACTGATTATAAACTGACCTCTTCCCAATGGAACATATCAAAAGGGAAGAGGGTATGACACAACATCGTATTTATATGACAAACGGTGGGACAAACGAAGAAGAAACAAGGCGGAGGTCGCAACCCAGTACACAACATATAGGAAACATTTGGGCTCTGGATGTCAGGTATAGATAAACATTAATTAAACCTAGTAAACAACTTTGTGTAATTATATGTTAGAACACAGGGACCGGTTACATAAGATATAACAGTCAATTAATTGTTATTCGACTGCCATTGTGAAAAGTCGGTGTTTGGTAACTAAAAATACGTTAACATATTTAGCTAGCTAAAAACTAAGCTAAGCTAGTTGTTTGCTGCCTTTCGGTGGACATTTTAAGTTGGTTAATGTGAGTTCGGGTGTGGATTTTGTGCCTGTTCTGGACTTTACTATTTAAGTGTCAGCCGAAAACTTATTTAATGTTAAAAGGCTACCTTTTTTTTTATTTGTGTAACAGAATTCAACATTGCAGAACTGACTGTTACAACACTGACAGGAGGTAAAGTAGTCGGATAAGTTAGATTTGCACAATGTACAAACGGCACCACAACTCTTGTAAATCTGTAACAAGCTGGTGTGCTTTCATGCCCTGCTGTCAGGTGGCGAGATGCAGGAGCCCAAACTTGAAGAGCTGAGGGTCAAATTAGGAAGGCTGCAAGAAGGTAGTCTTTGGCGAACCTGGGCCTATAAAATCATAGTAATTTTGACAATGATTTTAAATTGCCATGTAGACATTTGTTTTACCTTAACGTTATGTACAGACCTGTTCATACCCTTTAGCGACATCTTTTGGACGAACAGGAGAGGATCGGTTTTATAGTTTACACACCTCTAATGAAGAATGGGTTACTGGACTAGACTTGTTTTTGTTTTTGGTTTTTTTTGTTTGTTTTGTTTTTAAACATGTTCCCCCATCTAAAACAACATAAGAACGATTTTTGTCATAGTATTTTGCAAAGGTTTTACTGTTTAATTTGGAAAATCATAAGTCTTGGAATTATGGTTTTGAAAAAACATGTCTCCCCTGGCCTTATACTGACATGGTCACTGCTGGACGAAGTATTTGGAACTTACTCTTAAGTAAAAACAGGAAAACAAACAAAACTAAAAACAGTAATACCACACTAAAATAGCTACTCTGTTACAAGTATCAGTAGGAATACAGTCCATTTTACCATCTATTAGCATCAAGATACTGTATATACTATATAGGCGAAGTATCAACAGTAGTCATTGTGGCGAATGGGCTATTTCAGAATGCTCGGCTATATATCCGTGGATTGTAATTAGTGATCATAGTAATTAGTGCTTTATATACTGTCTGGAAGCCTAATCTATAAACTTGTATCATAACGTCGTAGGTGATTTACAGTTTGTATTAATAATGAGTCTGTACAGTAACTATTCGCTAAACCACCAAATTGTATATAATGAAGTAAAGTGCAATATTTGTCTCCGAAATGTAGTCGGGTAAGGCAAAATAGAAATATACAAGTACAAAACCTCGAATTGCGCTTAAGTAAAGGTTCTTAGTTAAGATTCTACCACTGGTATTCGGACAAGCAGAAGCTACATTTGACTTCAACTTCACTGTCACGTTTTTCCTTCTTCGTGTTGAATGGCGCTACTTTTGCGCATGCGTGGTGTTGTTGTTACTGTTTTCGGATACGTATAATGTTTTATTTACGTCTCTTTAGCTAATTATTCATCAGATCAGTTTGAGTAATATAATTTCTATCGATTCTCCAATATTCCCTATAATTCGACAGGAATTTCACTCGGTCAGTTTGCTAAGGCGACTACAGTATGTTAGGAAATATCGTGGGGGTATTATCTTAACCGTTTGGTTAGCCTTTGTGAACTTGCACATCCGCTTCCGCTGGTAAGTCGCGCTGACTTTTTCTGTTATTACATTGAAAAAGGTTCAAACCTGACAAAACGAACCAAATGCAGTGTTCCTTTGAGGTATATCAATCATTCAACGTGAAAACACTTCAGTGCGAAGGTTTCAGTTTTTATAAAACGCCTTTCTCGTTGTGCACCAATGAGAAGGCTGGCTGTGTAGACCATATGCTAATGAACACGCACATCACACACATTTAATAGAAATAATAGCATCAAAAACCTTAATAACCTAACATAGGATCCGAGTTTACGCAAGACACGCTTAATGTAACTTCATGTAACAAATACAACTTCAGCACTGGCACAAGAATGTAAAACCGTGAGGAAGAGAGCTGCACGCGCTGGTTATAGCAGTTCGTGTGCGCCGTAACGTTTATCTTCAGTGAGGTATATCCTTACCTGTTGCTCCTTCAATGGAGTTACAGAACATAATTGTTGTAAGTGTTTTACCGGACAGCCAGTTGAAGTCACAAATCCTTTTCTTTTCCAGTGACACAGGTCTATGTGTACTGCTTGTACAGCGTATGCAGAATCGGTGTAAATGTTCACCGTTCACCACTTTGTCTTTTGACAACTTACATGCTTGTATGAGAGCAATGAGCTCAGCCATCTGAGCTGAACTTGGCTGTGGGATCACATCAGCTTGCAGCACTCTGAAGCCAGCTGTTGTGTCCTCCACCACAGCATATGAAGCAACCAAACTACCTGTAGTAGTCTGATGTCTTGTCCATCATAGTACAGGGGCAGCTATGCGTCAGGTAGCTGTTCCCTATACAAGTTTTCATGTAATCTCATTTCAATGTCTGTCTTTCTCACACAATCATGGTCTTTGGTCAGTGACCATCTGCGCAGCCATGTTTGTTCCTTCACTTGTGAAGTGTACTGTATGTGAGGTAACTGCTGTAACGACTGACAGCAACTTGTTTTCACTTTTGTCATTTATATGTTTCTCTTTTTTTTGGATTCTGTGTACAACAGTCTGATAGCCCCTTGTAATGTGTGCTATTTGCAATATTGCTTGACCAATTGCAGCAACATGTCTTACACAAATTGGATGTCCTCTTTCAACATTATCTAGCTTAGAGCTATAGTACATCAACACCTTTCAATTGTGACTCCTACTGTCATCCCCCCTTTGAAACAGGCCTGCATTTACAATGCAGTCCTTTTCATTAACATCCAG